TGAAACGGTTTGCTATAGCTGGCATATTATCAACATCAATTATATATATCTAGTATTTGATTAAAGTTCTAGCTGCTTTGGTCTTAGCTGGTTTTGGCCATTTTCATTGTTCAAGAATTTATTGAAGGCATTTCATAGAGTATTTTGTTTTTTCATTTTTTTTCTGTGGCTTTTGGGTGGGAGGGGGTTGAGTCTATTGATAGTCATTGGACAGCCAACAATGACATCAGACTCTACGGGAAAACTCTATGATTTTTGTTTAAAAATTTATGAGATGGTTTGTACAATATATGTAGATATACATGGAGAAGAGCTGACCATTGTATCACCATAATTCATTACTAGTTTCTTATCAACGAAAGCTTCAGACTCGACTACCAGCACATCTCGAAGAAGTGTCAAGTGCCTCAGTGCAGAAGGTTCAGCACTTCAAATATCCCTCTCACTCTCTCAGATGCTGGGTTTAAGAAGACAGATATAATCACTAATTATAGTAAGTAATATTTTAGTTGCTAATGGTGCTGGAAGCTCGAGTCTGAAAATAATACGCCTACTGTGAATTATGTTACCCATTGATCTTTAAGAGAGAGGTTCCAATGCAGCTTGGTGGTTAAACTCGGTCATCAAGAAAAGTTTCAAATGGTCGTTTACAGTAACTTCCAAAACTTTGCAGGGGGTTGCATCTTTCTCAGAATGGAACCAACCTTGAAGAGAATCACAAACTAGAGCTGCCAGGGTTCTCAGCCGGTACAATTGATAAAAAGATCTCTAAACTAGAGCTTGGAAGCAAATTTGTAGAGGCCCTTCTAGAAAGTGAAGGGGAAAAAATATCTGGACTTCCTGAGGCACCTACAAATTTGTTTGATGATAGGAAAAGGAGGTTAATTTCGCTTAACGTCATCCAACTTATCATTTATTTCACAAAAGTCACTTATCTATTTTTCATCACTTAAAAGTCATTCAACCTTACCTTTGTAACTTAAAAGTCGTTCTAGTTCAAAATCTATAAAATATCCAATAAAAAATATGACATGGCGTTACATTTAATTAAAAATTCTAATAATAATGCCACATAAGCTTAAATAGACCATATCTAAGTTAGACCCATTTCTTCCTCAGCCCGATTTCAGTCAGTTTTTTGAATATTAGTTTTAATTTATTTTATATGAAAAACCGACCGATTTCGGTCGGTTTCTTAAAAAATAAATTTCGCGGGATTCTACAATAGTTTTTCGCATTTTTGCGCCCAAAAAAACCGACCGAAGTCGGTCGATCTCGTAAAAAAAATTTAAAAATAAAATATTTTGGAAAACCGACCGACTTTAATCTCACATAACATATAAATATACCACTAACAGACAAGAACAACAAGCTAATAAAAACCTATTTTCACGAATTACCAATGTTGTGAAAATATTTTGACTTTAATGGGTGTTTCTTACCGATCTTTTGACTTTAATGGAATAGTAATTTGTGAAAATAAGTTCTTATTAGCTTTGTTGTTCTTGTCTGTTAGTGGTACATTTATATGTTATGTGGGATTAAAGTCGGTCGGTTTTTCAAAATATTTTATTTTTTAATTTTTTTTACGAGACCGACCGACTTCGGTCGGTTGTTTTTAGCACAAAAATGCGGGAAACTATTTTAGAATCCCGCAAAATTTATTCTTTAAGGAACCGACTGAAATCGGTCGGTTTTTCATATAAAATAAATTAAACTAATATTCAAAAAACCAACTGAAATTGGGCTGAGGAAGAAATGAGTCTAACTTAGATATGGTCTATTTAAGCTTATGTGGCATTATTGTTAGATTTTTTAATTAAATGTAATGCTATGTCATATTTTTTATTGGGTTTTTTTATATTTTTTGAACTAGAATGACTTTTTAAGTTACAAAGGTAAAGTAGAGTGACTTTTAAGTGGTGAAAAATAAATAAGTGACTTTTGTGAAATAAATGATAAGTTTGATGACCATGGGTGAAATTAACCCCGGGAAAAAGGGGCTTCCAAAACCAGGCTGGGCGTTTTAATTTTACTCATTGTCTTTCGCATAGTATGTTCTTTTTTAATTATCAGCACAATTATGTTAGAAAAAATATGCATTGTGTGGAAAGTTGGTGCTATTAATTTCTCAGTACTGAGATAGATGGTCACGAGGTGGTTAGTTTCCTTGGCTTTTTGGGACGTACAACTTGTCATTTTCACCAATTCATGAGGAGAGCCCGAGCAAGAATTTGAAGTTTATAAGTTCGGAATTATAGTCCTTTTAAGTTACTGGATTCTAATAATTTATATATTTTCAATAGATATTTTAGACAAATACAAGGTTTGGATCAAAGCTGCTGGGGTTCGGTCAAACCCCTAACCAAAGAGCTAGCTCTGCCCCTGTTTGTGAGGACCAATGTTAGCAGAGTTATGTACAACAAGTGCTTCTTTTGTCATGTCTATATCTGGCCATGGTTCCTCTAGATTTCTTAGTTCTCATGAGGAATGGGTGTCTGGAGGTTGGGGTATATTTGATTATACGAAAGATGCTGTTCAACAATATGCTTTGTGATGTAGTTTCATTAGGCAAATGTAAAATATATTTGATGGTTCAACTTGAAATCACGAGCTTAATCTAAGATTGAGTGTTTTCTTTTCTTGCAATCACGTGTTGAATTATTGCATTACCTTTCAATCCCCCCCTCCCCTTTCTTCCTATCCCCAACTCCAACATCAACCTTTCCTTTTGGAGGAGCATATTGCGTTCATGGTAACTGTTCCATTTTGATTTGGCCAGTGGCATGTGCAGTGTGTCCTTTGCTATTTTGACGCTGCCGAAATTTCATTGCATGCGTATCCAACTTGTGTCCTAATCCTCTTCTGGGACACACCTTCTCAGACTTGTCGTATTTTCACTATGTTTTTCTGATTTTTTTTCAGTACTCCCCTCATTTATACTGTGACACCGACAAAGATGTAAGGATATAAGGATAATTGGACAAAATGATGGGGGGCTGGTAAGAGAAAGAAGAGGAAACTAAGGAACAGAACATAAATGCAGTAGCACTTGAAAGTAAGCTATACATCAAATTGAGAGGAAAAATTGGAAGGGGGTAACTACAAGGACCACACAATTCTATTAGATTTGATGAAAGGGGAATGGTAGATTGGTAGTCATATATACTCATCTACTTTCGAAAATGGTCTAAGAATACCCCTCGTTATACTATTGGGTTATCTATACCCCTGCAGTCATACTTTGTGTTCAAATATACCTCTCATTTAAACGGAGGGACACATGTCATCGTCCTGTTGGTCAATTCTAAATATCTCCTAATTAATTAAAAGACTCATTACCCATACCCGAAAATAATTTTTTTTTTTATAAAAACTGAAAAAAACTAAAAAAGAAATTACTAAAAACTAAAAAAAACGAAATTTTTTTTTTCAGTTTTTTACAAAATAACTGCTTTCAAAAAACTGAAAAATATTTTCTAAAACAATATTTTTGTAAAAACTGAAAAAAAGCTGAAAATCAATTTTCTAAAACAATTTTTTTTGTAAAAAGTGGAAAAACTGAATTTTTTTACTAAAAACTGAAAAAAAGGAAAAAAATATCTGGTTTTTTACAATAAAACTGCTTTAAAAAAAGCTGAAAATATTTTCTAAAATAATATTTTTGTAAAAATAAAAAAAAAATTAAAAAATAATTTTCTAAAGCAATGTTTCTGTAAAAACTGAAAAAACAAATATTTTTTTTTCCAGTTTTTAGTTAAAAATATTTCAGTTTTTTCCAGTTTTTAATTGCTTTAGAAAATTGATTTTCCGTTTTTTTCCAGTTTTTACAAAAATAATTTTAGAAAATATTTTTCAGTTTTTTTAAAGTATATTTTTTTGTAAAAACTGGAAAAAAAAAAATATTTTCGTTTTTTTCAATTTTTGTAATTTTGTTTTTTAGTTTTTTCCAGTTTTTACAAAAAAAAATAATTATTTTTCGGGTATGGGTAATGAGTCTTTTTAATTAATTAGGAGATATTTAGAATTGACCAACATGACGATGACATGTGTCCCTCCGTTTAAATGAGGGGTATTTTTGAACCCAAAGTATGACTGTAGGGGTATATAACGAGGGGTATTCTTAGACCATTTTCGAAAATAGAGGGTATATTTGGCCCTTTGCCGTATTTTAAATCTTCTTTATAGTAGAAGTTACAAGAAGGAGAGTAATTGTGATCCTACTCCATGATTTGAGGGGTAGTAGTTAATTGAAGCTCTTTTGTACTCTTCTGCAGGGAAATTCTTACATGCTACATTTATATAAAAGGGAGCAAAACTCTACACATCAAAATGATTGATCACATAATGCATGAACAAGAAAAAAAAAAAAACATCTTATGTATTGTCATTCCCCACTATAAAGATAACTCTTTTCTTGTATCTATCGTCTATGAAGGGGATGACTTATCAGGACAAGCTTGACTAAGAAACTTTTTTAGTTAAATTCCCTTCGTCATCATTAGGTATACTTTATAGAAATCACTTTATGTGCGAGTTTCATTTTTCATATCCCTTTTATTTGACAAGTTTTCAGTTAACTAATGACATTTTTGTATTCTCTAACTACTGGAAAATCTGTAGCCTGATTCTATGGGGGCTTTATATGCTATTACAAAGATCAAATTATATGATTATATAGGGCAAACCTAAAATTCTATGTACTGCCATAAAAGTGTAAATGCTCCCTTGGAATTTAAGGTACTCTTGTCCATCGAAGTGTCTGTTGGTAAAGGGAGCTCAGACGAAAAACTTTTTTGTCACATTGAAATGACATGGTGATAAGTGATAAGGCCAAATATGATTTTTCATTTGACCAATTAAAGGTTACTAGATATCACACACATCAGCATCAGTACTTGAAGATCACTCTACTAGTGCATAAACAGTGACACCCAAATCTCTTTTTATGGATCTTTAAATTAAAAACACAAGATATGCCAAGATCATTAAGTGAGAAATTAGAACATAGGACATGATGGATAATTCCTCATGTTCTGAATATTGGCCTGAGATTGAAACTGAGACTCATTTTCATCATTTCCAAGAAGTTGCTGCTTCACCTTTTCTACTTCCATTGGTTCCAAATTCTTGTGATGATACCTCCTTTCAACTTTATGAAAACCCTTGTTATTGGTCTCAACAGTTTGAAGAAGATACAAGTGCAAGTGCTTCTAGGAGCCATAGTGAAGCTGAGAAAAGACGCAGAGACAGAATTAATGCTCAGCTTTCCACTCTTAGAAAACTCATTCCCATGTCTGAAAAGGTAAGCTTTTATTTTGTCTGTTGGGTACGGAAGCTATTTTTCTAAACAATATTTTGTATAAGAAGGTCATTGATGTTTGGTTACTAGAGAAAGGAAAATGTTTTCAATCAGTATAAGGAAAATGACTTTTCTCACTAATGGACGGAGTCATTTTCTTTATACTTTATCTTAATTTAACTTCATATTTCTTGCTCCAATCTAAGGGTGCAAATAGGGTAAGAAGGAACTTTTTGGTTAATATATAAACTGCGGGAAAATTCTAGCTCAGTGGTAGTGGTAGAAGGGGTTCAAAAGTTGCTTAGATCACAAGTTCAAATCTCAGCTATGATATTCAAAGTATTTATTTGAATTGCCTTAATATAAATACTTCGCTCCGCCAATGCTCCAACTATATATTTTTCATAGAAAATAACTTCCATCGTATCAAACATACTAAACTATCCTAAACATCGGTAATATATATATCTTCCATGTACCAAATGCTTTTTCTATGATTTACCAAATCATTTAACTTGCAGATGGATAAGGCAGCTCTACTTAGAAGTGTAGTTGAGCACGTTAAAGATTTAAAAGAAAGAGCAAAGGAAATCAGCAAGGTAGTGAACACTCCAACTGACATTGATGAAGTAATAATTGAGCATTTAGATGAGGATGAAAATTCCAGCAATAGTATAATTCTCAAGGTTTGTCTAAGCTGTGATGATCGACCTGAATTGTTCTCAGAGCTAAACAGGGCACTTAAGAACCTCAAACTAACAACTGAGGAGGCTAATATAACTAGTTTGGGCGTCAGAATTAAGTGCGTTTTCGTGCTTAAGTCCGTTAATGGTGTTTGCTTGAATTCACTTAAACAGTCTCTTAGAGTGGTGCTTAGTAGAATTGCTATTTCCCTTTCTACATCCAATTATCGCATCAAAAGTAAGAGGCAGAGATTCTTTTTGCCTGCTAATTTTGCTTAATTCTTTTATTTTATCCTGGTCTTATATATTGAGCTTTCGAAATGAGTGCTTGCTGGAGTAGCTCAACGAGGTGCGGGTTTAATTCCTGCTATGCCTCATCCAAGTAGGTGTCTGTGCCACTGGACCAGCTAAACTTGTTTTGATCTAGTGTGCGTCCGTGCAGTACTCCTGTGTTGATTGGACTCGCTCAGCAGGTCTCTGTTTATTTTTTATTTTTTTTTAACAGGTCTTTTTATTTAAATTTGTTGCCAGTTTTCATAGTCCCTGGTTCAATATGGTATTTGTCTGAGAAAGTATATATCATGTCCTTGAATCTTAATAGCCAAGTGAATCATCTTGTTTTTTACCTGAGTATTCTATATAATAGTAGTTGCAGTATCCCAGTTTCCAGTTTCCACCACATATGTGTTTTAAAGTACAAGTCACAACACATGCCAAGAGAGGTCATTGCATATAGCACATACGGGGAGACAAGCCAGATTATGATTTGTTGAACTGTAAGTTCGACCTGAACATAAAGATGCTAGGTGAGAATATATAACGATCATGTAACGGATCCAGGATTCGAAGGTTGCGGGTGCCACCATATTATGCATACAGTATACATGTCAGTAGCTACAATACAAAGACAGATTAGGAATAATGGGTCGGTTCGATTAGTTTTTGGTTAATTTGAATAAGCCTTTCATTCACAAAGCAAATAAATTTGATTTTAGTTCAAATTTTTAACGCTTAATTTAAACACATTCTAAATAAAAATGCAAAAGGAAAATAACATTTCATGAAAGAGCGCCTCCAATATAAATATTTGCTTAAAGGGTACCTTAACTACATTATATTCTTTGTTTGACTAGATTAATTTACTTGTATTGTTCTTTGTTTATTTTTCCATCTTAATTGTTGAGTTATATGACAATTATTTTCAAAGAAAAACCTTCAACATTCAACATTCAACCTATGATATTCAACTCAAAAACGACTATCAATCAAGCCATTTAATTTTTTTTCAAAACTCAATAGAAGATATTGCTCAAATTATATTCCAATATATAAATTAATATTGTTTCATTAAAAATAAAGAAATTATATTCTAATTAAAATCAATTAAAATTACTATAGAAAATAATTGTTTATAAAGTAAGGTATAATGATAGAAATTAATATAGAAAATAATTGTTTACTATAGAAATTATAGGCTAAACCAATGACACCCACTTCCACTTTGTAACTTTTGGGTGTCATTCTATCCATTTATATATTTTTTCACAGAGATATTATGTACATGATAAAATTTTTAGCGAAGCGAGCGGGTGTCGTGGTACCCCTAACTTGCAACGTAGATCCGCCCTTGAATTCATGTTGGGTATAAAGCAAATTAAAGAGGATAAGGAGAAGTAAGATATTTAACTCTTTCATAAGAATGTGATAAATTTGTAGGTCCCTACTGTTAACTTTCCATGGAAGATGACATGCATAAGGAATTGAGATGAGAGAGATTTTCGAGAACTCCATTTCTCCATTGTCGACTGCAAATGAGAAGCTAATAAGAGAATAAAAGTTCTGTATAGACAACTCTAACTACCACTATTAATATAGCTAATTGGTTAAATTAGTTGCTAACTTTCATCGTGTACACTTTGACCCCTAAAATTCCTATATATATATATATATGATGGTGCTGTGCTTTGCCAAGACCCTTAGTGAATAAATCTGCTATCGGCTCCATAGTGTTCACATGCACAGTCCCTATAATTCCAGCCTTTATCTTTTGTCTGATAAAATGACAATCTATGTCGATGTGTTTTGTGCGTTCATGGAAAATGAGATTTGCTGCAATTTGGATCACAACCTTGCTGTCACAGAACATAGGCACAAGCAATTACAGCTTAACATCTAATTCACCAAACAACCCAATGAGCCAAACAATCTCAGCTGCAGTTGAAGCCATGCTTCTAAACTCAGCTTCAGCTAAACTCCTTGCTACTGTTTCCTACTTCTTTGATTCCAAAGAAACCAAAGCATTACCATAGAACACTGAGTAACCAGTGACTGACCTTCTAGTTTGAAGACATGCTCCCCAATCAGCATCACAATATGCTTTCGGAGTGCCATCACCAGATGAAGGCAATAGCAGTCCTTGCCCTGGTGCACTTTTGACATATCTGACAACTCTCCTAGCTGTATCCAAGTGAGATTGCTTTGGAGAATGCATATATTGACTTAATGTCTCTACAACAAAAGATATATCTCGCCAAGTCATTGTTAAGTATAGTAACCTTCTTACTAGTCTTTGAAGGGTCTTGAGCAGTATCCATTGAAGAGGATACCAATTTATTCTACAAAAGTCAATTTTTGATTTACTTCTAATGGTGTGCTAGCAGGTTTGGCTCTTGCTAGTCCAAGTTCTGAAATCGCTCTAGAGCATATTTTCGTTGACTCGTGTATATGCCTTTGTCTGATCGAGCAAAATCAATCCCAAGAAAGAATTTTAACTCTCCTAGGTCCTTTATCTTAAATAACTGCTGCAAGTTTTTCCTTGTCCTGTTGATTTCTGCAATGTTGTTCCCAGTAACTATCAGATCATCCACATAAACTAGCACTAGGACAATGTAAGCACCAGTCTTCCGGGTAAATAGTGAGTAATCATAGTGACTTTGGGAGAACCCCATGGTCTGTAGTGCCTCAGATAGCTTGATGTTCCATTGTCGGGATGCCTGCGTGAGGCCATACAAGGACTTATGTAGCCTGCATGCAAGGTACTCCCCCTGCTTGGCAGTCCCTTTAGAGAAACCTGGAGGTACAAACATGTAAACTTCTTCAACCAAGTCGCCTTGCAAGAAGGCGTGGGCACCTAATTTTTGCCCTATATAAAATTACTCATAGAAATCCCAAAAATAGTTTTCTAATTAGTTTGGATTTTGTAGGATTCTTAAGGATTTTTCTCTATTTGTTGTTTGCATTTTCATGATTAAAAATACTTTAAATTAGGAAAATATCAAAAATATTTTTATATTTCATTTTCGTCGCATTTTAGACTTTAACTGCACTTTTAAGTCTTAGTCACATTTTAATTTGCATTATTAAATCAAAATCACAAAAAGCACATTAATTATCTTGCATTTTAGCATTTTAGTTTTAAATTTGTTAGTTTTCTTTTATTAATTAGTTAGATAATTGGTCAATTTAAAATGGATAGTTTGGGTTAACTTTGCAAAAGTTAGTTTTAATTAGAATAGACGTCTAGTGAGGAAATTAAACAAAGAAGGGAGAATGGCGCTGTGTCTTTGTTTTGAAATCGAATTGGGCCAAATGCTTTGACCCAAATCTTCTTAAATCACACCAGCCCATTCCCTTGTCTACCCGATCCGCCTAGCTCAGCTCCCAACGACGCCGTTCATCCCAGGAACGGCGTCGTTGCCACTTCCCCCCACATTTAAAGTTTTAAACAACCCAACTCCCTCCAATCCGATATAGAAATCATCCTCCTAAAAAAATACAAATCCTAGCCGCCCCTAATTCCCTGATGCTCTGAAGAGAGAATAATTCGCCCACCTTCCTCTCACACGCTTTTTCTCTTCTCACGTCTCTCTGATTTCATCGACACATACATTCAAAACAAGGACGAGAGATGAAAAACGGATTTGAAAACTAAAATGACACTCTAAGATCTGAAACAAGAGGCTCTCTGTTAATTTCTGGTTTTAAGGAGAATTCAGATTCAAATCGTTATTCGATTCCGCTGGTTTTTGCTGTTTCTGGAATTGCCGAGTTCCGTTCGAGTTTGCTTCTGCCTTTATTTGGTTTATTCTAGCTTTTCTTTGTTCAACCAGGTTAGTTTGAAATTTCTGTCTTATGCTTTCAGTAAATGAATGAAAACTGTTGAATTCCTATTTAGTTTTTTTTTCTTATTTGTTCAAGTATGACTTGTGCTGATTCTGTTGTTTACTGAATGTGTATTTGGCCTCCATTTGATTGAAACAGTTAAATAACTCGAAATGAGATGTTTATGTGAATTACTCGTTTCATGCTCTCAATTAGGACACTGTTGTTAGTTGTGAGCCTTTGATTGGTTGGATTTGTAATGCCAAAGCCAAAGAGTAGTTCATATGCTGCTGTTAAGCTATTGTATGCAGATTTGACGTTAAGAGACTCTCAACGAGTTCAAACATCACTTCATTTCTAGTTCAGTTATGTAATCAGTCATTGGTGGATTGAATTTGAATTTGAGCTTCGTCCGTAGGAACAGTTTCGCATTTTAGTCTTGTAAATATTCTGTCAGGTTTGAAGTGATCCATGAGTTGTCCTCCAGTCCAGCACGTTAACTATCTAACAAAAGTTCCATTCTAACACCAACAATACAACCCCATAGTTGCTGCAAATTAGCTCCAAGACAGATGCGTTATTGCTGAAAATCAGCCTCAAAAACTCCATTTTTCAGCCACGAAATTCAGTTCTTAAAGCTCCCTTAAACCACTCCAAAATCCAGCCATAACAAGTAGTAAAAACGCAGCCACTAGATGCGAGCAGAATAGTCCAAAACGCTGCCCCTTTCCCACCTGAAAACACCCCAAAACCAGCCCTCAAAAGCCATGGAAATCAGCCTTAAACCCACCTGAAAACTCCATGAAAACTAGCTGGAAACTCCAGCTAAAAACGCAACAAAACAGCCCCGAAATCCAGCCCGCAAACACTACATAAAGCTTATCTTGTTCTTGGTTAATACATGAGATTTTGTTTTAGATGGTCATGGTAGTCTTTATGCTTATATGAATATCATGCTTCAGCTATTTCCCTAGAATGTTTAAATAAGTTTGGTAAACTCACTTTGCTTGGGACTTAGCTTGTGGATGTTTTGTTTGGATAAATTGATCTTATTGACTCAAATGAGTAGATTTCACTGTAATTCCTAATTACAAATTAATGATTTGAAACTAAAACCAACAGTTAATTGAATCAAAGGTGTTAACTCTATGAACATCTGTAGTTTATGAGTTTAGGCTTTGGTACACTTGATTCCCAAAATAATTTTCATATTTCAAAGGCCTCACAATAATTTCAAAGTAAGATAAATAATTCAAATGCGCTAGTTGCTTTAGGCGGGAATAATCATAAATCATCGTGACTATGGCTATGGTTCCCGTGGCATAGTCATGATGTATAACTCCAAACTCAAGTGCACGTTTACGCGATTTGACCACAACTTCAAATAATTAAAATAAATATGTTGTGAATCACGGGTATATTTCACGTGGCGTGATTTGCGATGTGTACGAAAACGACAAGTGCGCGACACCGTGACTTGTTTAAATAAATTTCATAATTGTTTAAAATAATTAAAAGCGGTATAGAAGCGGTAACACATAAAAAGTTTTAAACATATAATAATTCAGATAATTAAGCCAAATATTAATTGTTAAGCGACCGTGCTAAAACCACGGAACTCGGGAGTGCCTCACACCTTCTCCCAAGTTAACAGAATTTCTTACCCGGTCTTCTATGTTCGCGGACCATAAAATAGAGTCAATTTTCTCGATTTGGGACTTTAAAATAAACCGGTGACTTGGGACACCCTAATAATTATTCCAAGTGGCGACTCTAATTAAATAAATAATCTCATTTCGAACAATGTCACTTTAATTGGAAAAAACTCCTTATCTTCGGAAAAAGGAGGTGTGACAGCTCTGGCGACTCCACTGGGGATACGAACCCAGACCTTTTGGTTCAGGGTTCAGAATTCGAGCTTAAAATAACTGTTATACTTGGCTACTTGTGATTGTCTGATATTACTTGTTTGAGCCTAATGTGCTAATTGCCGCTTTTTACCGCTTTGATATTGCCGTGAATTGTATATTACGATACCCTTTTTCTCTCTGAGTCTTCTAAATCTTCTAGGGAGCGCACGCTGGCGTGACTTCTTTTCTGTTAGAGTGTCATACCCCTAATTTTAGAACGAGGATCGGATCAGTTACAAAGCCTGATGGCCTTTTGGTTCTCGGTATGTTGGCCCCCCGGCTCGAGTTGTCCGCTCGGGTAAGCAAGGTCTAGAACTCCACATCTTTAAGGTTTAAACTTAGAAGAACATATCCTTAGTAGGTACGTTTGTTTGCATCACGTGCATTTGACTTTGGGGACTCAACACAGGGATTGAGTCCGTCTAGGACAAGTGCACCCAAAATTAAAGACCATCCTGATGCATCTTACGTGCTACTTGTGCATTTGTTTGTTTCGGCTTGCATGTTAACCGACTTCTAGAATAGGGAAAATAAAATCAAGAAAAACCAAGAGATGTTTAAATTCAAATTAAATTATGCACTATGTGTTGTTATTAATTAGTTACTGTTTTTGAATTTGAATTTAAACATCTCTCTATATATAATAAGAGAGGCAAATACACCATAGTAAGCCAAGTGGCAACATAATAAAAAGCCATTTGACAATTTTAGGACAAAGTTAGTTAGGTTAGGTAATAATTGCTCTCTTTTTGGATTTAAATTTAAAGGCAAAATACATAAGGTATCCCCCGAACTATGGACCAAATCCCTATTACACACTTTTTACGGACGAAAATCACTTTACACACCCAACCTTTCCAGAGTGTGCCTAAGAGACTACTTTTAACAGCTGGCGCGCGCGTGTTCACATTAAAGAGGGCGAGTGAAGTTAAATTTTTTCGGTCTGAACCATTATCTAAATGCCACATATCCAGCCTTCTTTATTTTTAAAAATTTTTAGAGTCATTTCAGCTACATTGTGTTCCTATTTCGTTCCTGACTCCACTCTAAATTTACACTTTTAATTTTTTTTTATTATGATGAAGGTTACTTGAGCAAACTGAAGATGAAGTATGATGATTTTCCTACAAGGATGACGTTTACTCTTGATATTCTTTACCTTTTACTAATGATTATTAGTACCTATAATTACACTAATGCTGTCCATAAATTAATAGTTGGCAGAATTGATAAAGAAAGGATTTGTTCAAGTTGGAGATGTAAGCAAGGTATTATGTGAAGATCTCAGTCGATAACATGAGCAAGTTGGCAATCGACGGAGCTGCGATTGTAATGCAACCGTGAAACGAAAAAACGACATCAGAACCAGTGTTGTGAAAAGCGGGCGCTTCCTCGCTTAAAGAGAAAAGCGAAGCGAGGTGACCCAACCACCGCTTCTGCTATCTGAAGCGTAGTAGGTATTCAAAAGCGGTCGCTTCCCACTAAAAAGCGAGAAGCGGCGATGCGAAGCGAGGCGACTGAAGCGAGCGCTTCTCTGTTTTAAAGGGCTGCCAACCTTTTTAATTAAAAAAAGTTGTTCTTTTATTAAAACATATCGACCAGCAGCAACAGAGAAAGAAAGAGGCGACTAGAATTCCAAGTTTTCTACACTTTTCAACTTCAAGATCATCAAGTTTAGTCCAGGTATGTGATTTCTTCTTCCTCCTTTTTCTTTTTCTTTCACTGTTTCAGCGTCCAAATAGCAGCGAAATGTTGGCGATTTTTTTTTCCCTTTAGTTCTTCTTTCTCATTCTTCTCCTCTTCTTCATTTTCTTGCACTGTTTCAGTGATAAAAATGCTGAAATGCTGCCCATTTTTTCGTTTCAGTTATACTGCCCTTTTTCGTAATTGATGAAGAAGAAGAAGTTGAAGAAGATGACGAGCAATATAATAATGATAGTGGAATACAAGAATTTGATAATCTTGTAGAAGAATATGATGCTCATTTTGTGCTTGAATTGATGCTACTCTTTAGTTTTTACATTGAAGTATTGAACATTTGCTTACAGTTACATGTTGTCTATGCAATATTTATTTTAATAATTTTTTTTTTAAAATTCCGCTTCACTTCAAAAGAGCGAGCGCTTCGCTTCTCGCTTTAAGCGAAAAGGAGCTTGTCGCTTTTTCTCGCTTCACGCTCTTCACAACAACACTGATCAGAACTATGGGTCGCCGGAGTCCTTCATTTTTCGGTCAATCTTTCATATGAAACAAAAGGTGAGAAGAAGAGACACAAAAATAAAAAACGACGGAGAAGCTCCTTTTCCAGTCAAATTCGGCTGATCCGGCCAAGATCTGACCATTCTTCAGCGAGTTTCTTCCAGATCCGATTATCTGGAATCGGCAAGGGAGCGATTTGGTCAGCCAGCCGCCAACTCCGACTGGCGTCAAGTTGTTCGGTGGCTAATAATGGTGAGAGAGGAGTTTGGCAGCTGTTGGGTGTGAAGTGAGAGGAGAATGGAGGAAAATGGAGGACACGTGATTTGGAGGATCATTCCGGCGGATTTTAATGGAGAAAAAAATTTTAATGGAGAAGATGACTAAGAGTGGAGTAGGGAAATTTGAGACATGGGTTTGGGAGGGGGGTCCTTTGATTATTTTTGTTTTTTAAGAAAAATATTAATTAGGGTGGAAATTAAGTGATTTTTTTAATTATGACACGTGTCAAGACCTAATTGGTGCGTGATATCATACATAATTTGACAAATTGGTCAAGAAAAAAGCAGTGTCTTAGGCACACTTTGAAAAGGTTGAGTGTGTAAAATGATTTTCGTCCGTAAAAAGTGTGTAATAGGGATTTGGTCCATAGTTCGGGGGTAACTTATGTATTTTGTCAAATTTAAAAATTTAATTATGTAATGTTTATTATTAATAAGTAGTTACTCTTTTTTTGATTTAGAATTTAAATATATCTATATATATTAGGAGAGGCAAAGACACCATAGTAAGCCAAGTGGCAACATAATAAAAAGCCACTTGGAAATATTAGTACAAAGTTAGTTAGGTTAGGACTTAGGTAATAATTACTCTCTTTTTGAATTTAAATTTTAAAAAAGTTAAATTATGTATTGTTTATTATTAATAATTAATTACTCTTTTTGAATTAGAATTTAAATATAGAAGAAAAGTCTAATTTGAATTTGAAATAATTATAAGCAACATAGTAATCTATCTCATGTTATATGAGAGGCAAAGACACCATAATAAGCCAAGTGGCAACATAATAAAAAGCCACTTGGCAATGTTAGGACAAAATTAGTTAAGTTAGGTAATAATTAGTTTCTTTTTTAATTTTAAAATAAATAAATTATGCACCATGTGTTGTTAATAATTAGTTACTTTTTTTAAATTTGAATTTAAATATCTATCTATATATAATAAGAGAGCCAAAGTGTCACGACCCAAACTAACCTTTGTCGTGATGGCGCCTATCGTGGAACTAGGCAAGCCGACTCATTTTCAAAACAAACCGATATTTTCATTTCAAAGAAAATTTCAAGGTTATTTAACATAAAACCTCCATTTAAAGAGTTCAAATCAAAGAAAAACAGAAGTGCGGAAAAGAAAAGTCCGACATCGGGGTGTCACTAGTCATGAGCACATACTACAATCTGTCTAACAATATCAAGGCTAACTCAGCCCGGAAAATAGCTAAATACAACTAGAGGAAGATAAGAGGGAGAAGAGCAGGGGCTGCGATCGCCAAACAGCTACCTTGCTATCACAAAAAAAAATCTGCAACCAGAACAGTCAATAACTGTTACCGTGTCCAACTACACCTGGATCTGCACACAAGGTGTAGGGAGTAACGTGAGTACGCCAACTTAGTAAGTAACAACAATAAATAAAGACTGAGCAGTAGTGACGAGCAATAAAGCATATAACGTTCATATCAGAAAATCTCAATAAAATACCACATGCTCTTAAAAAAATCAGGATTTGAATCAAACATCTCGTTTAAACCCAGTTCCAGTAAAAAAAAATCATTTAAAGACATTTTTCCAACAGTTTTTCAAACAAAGGCTCAATGCAAAGGTGAGCAAAAATGATGAATTTTGCACACAAGTCCTAAATGACATAACAGAGGTATTCCAATTTTCAGAATCGGATTTCGACCCCGATATCAAAAAGTCAACCCCCGGTCAAACTTCTCAAAAATAAAACTTTCGGCATTTCAAGCCTAATTCCTCGACGGACTTCCAAATAATATTCCGGACACGCTCCTAAGCCCAAAATCACCATACGGAGCTATTGGAATCATCAAAATTCAAATCCGAGGTCGTTTACACATAGGTCCATATCCGGTCCACTTTTCTAACTTAAAATTTTCAATTATGAGACTAAGTGTCTCATTTCACTCCGAGTTCCTTCCGGACTCGAACCAACTAACCCGATATAACATAATATAGCTGAATAACACAAAAAGAAGTAGGAATGGGGAAAATGAGGTTATAACTCTCGAAACGACCGGCCTGGTCGTTACACAAAGACACCATAGTAAGCCAAGGGACAACATAATAAAAAGCCACTTGACGGGTTTATATAGTTATATTATCTACTAATCAAATATAACAATAAAAAAAATCTATCTATATATAATAGGAGAGACAAAGACACCATTGTAAGCCAAGTGACAACATAATAAAAAGTCAGTTGACAATTTTAGGATAAAATTAGTTAAATTAAGTAATAATTAGTATCTTTTTGAATTTAATTTTTTTAAAAATAAATTATGCACTATGTGTTGTTAATAATTAGTTACTGTTTTTGAATTTGAATTTAAACATCTCCTCTATATATAATAAGAGAGGCAAAGACACCATAGTAAGCCAAGTGCAAACATAATAAAAAGCAACTTGGAAATTTTAGGTCAAAGTTAGTTAGGTTAGGTAATAATTACTCTCTTTTTCAATTTAAATTTTTAAAAAATTAAATTATGTATTGTTTATTATTAATATTTAGTTACTCTTTTTGAATTAGATTTAAATATAGAAGACAAGTCTAATTTGAAATAATTACAAGCAACATAGTAATCTATCTATATATAATTTGAGAGGCAAAGACACCATAATAAGCCAAGTGGCAACATAATAAAAAGCCACTTGGCAATGTTAGGACAAAATTAGTTAAGTTAGGTAATAATTAGTTTCTTTTTTAATTTTAAATTTTAAAAATACACTATGTGTTGTTAATAATTAGTTACTCTTTTTGAATTTGAATTTAATTATCTATCTATCTATCTATCTATCTATCTATCTATCTATCTATAAGATAGAATACAATAAGAGAGCCAAAGACACCATAGTAAGCCAAGTGGCAACATAATAAAAAGTCACTTAACAGGTTTATATAGTAATATTATCTACTAATCAAATATAACAATAAAAAAAATCTATCTATATATAATAGAAGAGACAAAGACACCATAGTAAGCCAAGTGGCAACATAATAAAAAGTCACTTGGCAATTTTAGGACTAAATTAGTTAAATTAAGTAATAATTAGTATCTTTTGAATTTATTTTTTTTAAAAAAACAAATCATGCACTATGTGTTGTTAATAACTAGTTACTGTTTTTGAATTTGAATTTAAACATCTATCTATATGTAATAAGACAGGCAAAGACACCATAGTAAGCCATGTGGCAACATAATAAAAAGCCACTTGACGGGTTTATATAGTAATATTATCTACTAATCAAATATAGCAGTAAAAAAAATATATATGAAAGGAGGAAATTAGACTTAATGTTAGGATATTTATAAATTGAATTAATTGGAAAAATAATTTAAATAATATCACTCAATAAAATTATTGATAAATTTTGACAATTCCTAGAAACATCTGACCCAAAACCCACGTCTTAAAAAGAAATTGCCCTTTATTCCATCATCAAAATCTTCTTAATAAAAAAAAACATCTTCTTAATAAAATAAAAAAACATCTTCTTAATAAAAAAATCTATTATTCTCAAAATTTCTATTTGATCCAATTATGCCAGCATATTTCAGCATTCTCACAAATTGTGATAATTATTACGAACAATATATAAATGAAATTTGTACCATAGAAAGATTTCTTGGTCGCCTAAAAATATTCTCCAAGGGATATATATTTATCAAATCAGGCAACTTTTCAACCTATTAATTATATTATTACTCATATGTTTTTATATTATATTGCATCAATATTTATCAGTTGATATAGTAATATTATATTTAATATTCTCCGTACAACGCGCGAGTATAAATACTACTAGTATATATTTAAAAAGGAAACATTTTGGTCATAAAGTTCTTATAGGGGCCTTTTGCGTTATTATTTTTTTTATTTTTAATCCAAAAAATAATGTTAATGACAATTGTGATACAATAGATGGAAGGAGATGCATTTTTGATACTAAAAATAAGTTAGTGGCAATTTTTGTGATTTAATAAGTGGAAGAAGGGCATTTTTGACAGTTTACCTGTTTTCCAAAGTTGCTGGTTCCATACAGTCTCCACCAGGATTAGAACCGCCGATCGGCTCGCTCTTATTGCTAGTGCGCCTTCGGCTAGGTATCTTCTTCTTTTCCTCTCTTCTAAACTTTTTTACTTGATCTTCTCTTTTTGTTTTTGAGTTTTTGCTTCGTTTTTTTTCAATTGGAGAATGATTAAGGAACATTGAATACTCTGATTTTGTGAAAGTGAATTGCTAGTTATGATTTACGAGCTTACAGTGAATTTCTATTTGTTAATTTGTTATTGGGTTACAGGAGACGTTCTTTGTCATTTAATTAGTGAAATTCATGTTTCTTAGCTTACAACAGCTTTTAAGTAACTTCACATTGGAATTTAAATGAATTAGAACGTATTATTTAATAATCATGGATGGCTTAGATAAGTAAATTATGAGAGTTACGGACTTCCTGAATAAGTAATACTATACTCATTATGTAGATTTTGCTTCTGCACCCAAGGGTGTCGCCTAGTGGTCAATGAATTGGGTTGAGAACCATGAACTCTAAGGTTCAAATCTCAGCGGAGATAAAAAAATACTAAGTGATTTCTCCCATATGTCCGAGCCTTGGTGGATAAAGTTACGTAATACTTGTTGTTGGTGGGAGGTAGCAGGTATCCCATGGAACTGGTGGTGGTGCGCACAAGCTGGCCTTGACACCAACTCGATTTTGCTTCTTAGGTCATAAACTTTTTATTTTCCTCTTAATTTGTTGCTTGGCGACTTTTAGTGATTATCTTATCAAGAGTGAAGTATTCAAAAGTTAAAGGAAAATCTCCAAAATAGAGTTTTTCGGAGAGATTATTTAGTTTTATTTGGATTAAAAAAGAGATATTTGTAATGACTAGAATAAAAAGAACGAAATTTGGAGAAAATTACTTTTCTGAAAATATATTTTACTTGTTAACTTGATCCAATCATTGTTGCTTGTTGATTTGAAGTTGTTGTCTTAATAGAATCTGCACCCAAGGTTGTGGCTAGTGGTCAATGAAGTGAGTGAGAACCATGAGGTCTCATGTTCAAATCCCAGCGGAGGCAAAAAACACTAGGTGATTTCTTCCAATCTATCCAAGCCTTGATGGATAGAGTTACCTGGTACCTGTTGCTGGTGGGAGGTGGCAGGTACCCTATGGAATTAGTCGAGAAATTAGTCAAGGTGGGCGCAAGCTGGACCGGAAACCACAGTTTTAAAAAAAACAAAAAAAAGGAATCTGCTGTGGCGAACACCTTGATCCACCACTGTGATTTTTGCTTAAGTCTTCTTTGTCTTTCTTTTTTATTGTAAAATTTTAGCAAGCTTTAAATTTTTAAGTTTATTTTCTATTTGTTTTTCATTATCCATTTAGCTGCAAACTCTTTCTTTCTATTTATTTTTTGCATTTTTAGGATCCCATTTGTTGATCCAAAGATATCTATCTATATCTTTCTTTCTTTATGTATTTATTTGTTTATTTTATTTTTGCATATTATGCACTCTGATCTTTTGATATAATTCTATTTCAGAAGCTAAATCCGTGTTAGTCAAGGATCTTCAATTTCATTTTAGAGAAAAAAAGCCTAAAGAATCAGTGACTTCAACAACCTATTGTGAAAGCAGTGTAATTTGATAAAAACACGTTTCAGAGAACTGCAAGAGGGGGAAGAAATATGGGATATTGACTTATGCTCAGTGCTGTTATTGCTGTTACGGTGGTAATTGCTCAAGCAGTAAGATTATTGTTAATGGTAATCAATGGCTGGAGAAATAGAAAGAAGGCTGTTGTGGTCTTCCACCCATACGCCAATGACGGAGGTGGTGGAGAAAGAGTCTTGTGGTGCGCTGTGAAAGCCATCCAAGATGAAAACCCAAATCTAGATTGTGTCATATATACAGGAGATCATGATGCTTCTCCCGACAGCCTTACTGGCCGTGCCCTTGATCGATTTGGAGTCAAATTAATCCACCCTCCTAAGATACCCTTTACTTCTCGGTGTGTTTTTCTCTGCGTACATGCTATTATTTCCGTTATTTCATTTTTCATGATAGAGTTTGACTTGAAATGAACTCTAGGGATATCTATTTGACTTGCATATTTTATCAGCGACAGTGGAATAATATCAAAGTGATGGTTGAAAAGTTATACTTTGATAGGAAATGTCAATAAATTTGAAAGTATAACGGATTTAAATTCTTAAAAGTTGTGAAAGTAGTATTAAACTAGAATACTATCAATCATTAAGTCACAAAATAAAATGTTGTCACATTTGCTTTCTGTTTAGCTAAACAAACAACTTCCTTTTTCACTTTTGCTCTCGTTTCTTCATCTTCCTCCCCTCCCCCCACCCACGCCCAAGCTCCACCATTAGTATCAAGTGTTTTAGTTATCAAGGGAACTCCCAGGTCGTCAAAGGCTCATTTGAGGGCGCTTAAGCCCTGAAGCTCATAGAAGCTCGGGCTAGGCGCTTTGCCTCACTTAAGCTGCGTTTCAGTTTAGGCAAGGCACTAAGGCGTACGCCTCATTGCCCATTAATTCTATCTTGAATAGAGCGCTAGTAAACAATTAATATGATTGGCATGAAGCTATATCAATTGTTAAGTAAATCATTATGAATAAAGTTGTTACTTTTTTCTTGCATTAAATATGTATTTTTTTCCTCCTCCGTTGCGCCTTTTTTTACTAAAGCTCACACTTTAGTTGCGCTTTGCACTTAAATTCCCGATAGAACTAGAACGCTTTTTAAGGCTTTTTGCCTTTGACAACACTAATTTCAACAGTATCACGTAGTCTTTGTGCTTCTTCTATCCCTGATAAGGCATTGAAATCCTCCTCAACATTCTTTATTGTAGCATCAGGAATACACTCCTATTCTTTTGAATTCTAATATTTATTTATGTTAGTTTGTAGCTGCTTTGAGATATCTGTATTATATATTCCTTCTTCTCCTTTTACCTGTATTGCTGCATCTTATATTCCTCTTTTTGATGGTTTATTACTGGTATATGTTTGACGGTGGTAATCACAAACACATATAATACCCTGTCCAGATAATTGCTGAATAATGTAGTTATTCTTTCGAAACTTCAATATATTGACATTCAATGTCATTTTGCTCAAGATTACTGATTTCCTGCAGTTTACATCAGGTGGTCCATCTGCAGTTTACAATGATTGGTCAAAGCTTTGTGCAAATATACACCTTTATATTACTTTGATTCTAGTGGATATGCTTTTACTTATCCAGTTGCCCGTGTATTTGGATGCAAAGTTTTTTCCTATACTCATTATCCAACTATCAGTTTAGACATGCTATCCCGTGTTCGTGGGCGCAGTTCAATGTACAACAATGATTCCTTGATTGCCAAGAGGTACTACATATCAGCATATGCCATCTATATGATATCTTTCCCTTTTTCTTTTGTGTTGTAAATTGTAAAAATCTGTCATCTGTAGAATTTCATGATAACAAGTCAATTAGTCATTTTGATGGAAGTTTCCGTTACTAAGCACCTAAACGTTGGTCTACCTTGTTGAAGAAAAATGAGAATGGGCTATTCAAACAAAAAGGAAAAGGCCATGCTTAGTTTGGCGAGCCTTTGTCATTGTCTGTCAACTTAAGTGGTGCCTAAGGCCCGTATGAGGAACTGTTGATCTGCTTGTGTCTTTTTTCTTTGCCTACTGTTAGTTTATAGATATGTATAGTGTAGTCTTGTCCCACATTGGAAGAGGAGTAATATCTCTTTGTAGTGTATAGCTATAAATAGGGGCCTCTTGTATTGTATTTATCATCCAATATCAATAACATATTTTCTCCCGTGCCTTCTCACATGGTATCAGAGCATTAGTGAGAAAAGATCGCTGTGCGTCATTCCAGCGTTAACCGGGAAGAAAGAACTTAGTCATCGTGTAATTTTTCCGGTGACCTAAGGCTTGTCTAAGTGAAAGTCACTTTCTGTTGGTGTTGTGCTAAAACCAACACCACTACGAGGTAGATCACCCTCCGACTACCAACCCCTGAAATTTTATCTGGCAGAAAAGCCGCCACGCTCCTCCACGCGCCGGCAACAACTTTTCCGGCGAGGGTTCCGGCCACTTTCCGGCCATTTTTTCGCGAAGCTTCTTCAGGACAGTGTGTTCTCCTCAAAATTCCGAGCCTACCCATCTAATTCAAATCAAATTCCGGCCACTTTTATATTTTTCCGGCGTGAACAGTGACCTTCCTGGCCATTTTTTTGAAAATATTTCTTCAGGACAGCTTGCTCGCAAAGAAATTCCGAGTCTATCCATCCTGGTTACAACAAATTCCGATAACTTTGGAATTTTCCAGCGAGCTACAGTGTTTCCGGCGTGAACAGTGTTCCGGCACAGAACAGTATTCTGTTTTCCTGCTGTAAACAGTGTTTTTCAAGCTATTTCTTCAGTTTTCTCACAGGAGT